AAGAGTGAAGGGTTCTAGCAGGTCCGAGAATGGCAGACATGGCACTGGTAGGCCTTACCTTCCTCCTTCCCTCTCTCTGGTAAACCATGGATTTCATCCCTAAAACTAGTCCCAGAGGTCTATTCTTTTATTTGCATTCTTTTCTTATGCTAGGCTTATTCCTAAGGCTAATCACCAAGGTGCTCACTGAAGTCCAGCAATCAAAAGCCCCCTTAGGCTGCCTTAATTAACGTGAGCAATCCAAACATCCCACTGCTTCCTAGGCCACTGTAACACAGACCTCCTGTTTTCTGTCATGGCCCGGCTTGTCTCAGCTTTAACCCACGACAGCCATGAGGTTTTACCTGAGTGGGGGTGTGTGAACTTGGAAGCTTCTAGGAACCCAACGACGATAAAGACCAAACACAGGCATCTTGTCACCTTTAGAGAGCTCTCAGTTCCATGTTTTGGAACTAGAGCCATTGTTTATTAGCCATCTTTTCTGGTGTCCCTTAATCATCCTGCTAGTACCACGAGGCAACCATTTCTCCTTTTTTCCCTTGCTGCTCTCTCCAGCTCTGGCCTTCTCGCCCACTTCGTTCCTCCCCTTCTCCGCTCCTACCACCAGCACTTCTGGCCAGGTGAGGGCCTATTCAGATGCTGAGGCACATACAGATGCAAATAAGAGGCATATTACCCTCAGGCCAGGTAAACAGTTAATTAACAATACAATGGCCACTCAGAGCTCCCTGGCGCCACCTCTGTTTATGTGGCCAGGGCCTGGAACCCAGAATATTCCATAACAGGGATATTTGGTCCCCCAGTTTTCCTCTTAAAAATCACACCTGTAAGATCATTCGCTGCTGTGTTCTGCCTAAGTCAGAAATCAGCCACTTTACTTTTCTTCCATGCTTGATAAATAATCTCTCTGTGAAAATAGGTGTTTGGGTGTGGTTTGTGCCTAATCGGGGTCCAGGAGGGTGCACCCCTCCCTAACCCCTGCTGTGTGTACGGGGGAGGAGGGAATCCCTTCTAAGAGTGACTGAGCCACACTTCTGTGGGAGAAATAAAGCATCTTAAAGTCACACCGTTTGTGGTGGCCGAACCAAAATGGGAAGACCAGAACCCGAGACTCCTGTGTTTGTCTCTGCACTTTGTTGCAGTCACTGTGCTACACAGCCTGGGCTTTTATCATTTTATTCCGGGGTCAGCAGACAACCGCCCGGCACTTTGTGACTCTGCTTGTTTGCAGAGCTCAGTTGCGACTGAGGATCAGAATAACAGTGATTTTTTTTTTTCTTTTTCTTAATGAGTCCAAGTGTACTCTTGGTTCCTAGCAGTTGCATGTGCAATGTGAAAACAGACAGCAGTGGGCGTGAACTGTGAATCACCGCAATAGACAGGCATACGTGAGTCGGAGTGCCTGCATCTCATGTTACCATTGTCTCTGGGGTTCATTGTCTAGCCCATCTACTGTAGCTAATTAGCCACAGCTGCACTTCGCATAGGGCTTCCTGTGTGCTGATCACTCATGTTCAATGGGAGACCACACTCTGCATTCCTTCAATTTGTGTCTTCCTAATTAAACTGCAAATGCTGATTGCTTCTTCCTCTTGACCGGAAAAGCTTAGATTTTTATCACCAAGTCCCTAGGCTTCTGTTTTTATCAAAACGTTTTTTTTAAAGCCCTGACCCTAAGGACCCGGGCAGACTGGACAACAGAGATAACTTTTAAATAGTTATCTCATTTCCTAATTGACAAAAACTGTCACGGTGTGATGACCTAGCAGGATCTGATGTGTATTACAAAAGTGACAAAGATTCTACACTGCAGTGGCACTAGAGAGTACGAAATCACTCCTTCCTTTGTATGGCAGCCACCAGTCTGTCATCTCTTAGTCTTTAAAATGAAAAACTCTACTTGACCTGTATATGCTTAAGGAGAAATTACAGTAATTGATTTAACACTTGGGGCCGGGCATAACAATTATGGAATACAATTTGGCTATCCAAGGTAACGTGCTAATAATATCACTGTTTACAAAATAATTATGATGGTGGTGGTAGTGGCGGCGGAGGGTGGTGGTGATGTCACTGTTTACTGCCAGGTCATCTCCTAACACACTGGTAAGGATAAGACCGATAGAACATAAGACATGAAAGCTGGAAAGGACCCGGAGGACGCCCTAGTTCAAACTTAGTTGGCAAAAGAGTAAACAAAGTGAGGAACCAGCTTCCCTTTCAGCAGCCATAACAGCCAAACACGTGCTTGCCACAA